AACTGCTATCAAGAGTGTGAGTCAAGGTTTGGACCAGGTCAGTGCAGCACCAGAACCCGCCTTGGGACCCTTTCCCTGGCCCGTTTGCCGGAGATCCCGGTGCCTGGGAGAGGTTGTGATTTTCTTTTTGAAGCTTTTAACTGGGAGTTGAGGATGTTCTTTAATGATCTGGTGGCTTGCCCTGCGCTTGCCTACCATTTCTGAACTCCTCAGAGGTTTTCAGGGACTCAGAACCCCACTGCAAGAGCCCCCACCCCACTCCAGGCTGATACAGAGGGAACCTGGGTGATTCTAAAGGAAGGGAAGAATCTGAGGGTCAGGGAGTCCTTCAGCACCAGCATGATGAGTTGGACTTTTGTCCTAAGGTAGTAGGGAGCCAGAGAAGGTTTTTGAGTAGTAGCACGACATGGTCATGTCTGTGTATCAGGAAAATAACCTTGGTGTCAGTGTAAGCACCAGTCAGAGCAGGGACGCCTGTGAGGAGGCTGCTGTGTGAGCCTGGACTGCGCTTGGTGGTGGCTGGACCAGGCCAGGAGCTGTGGGGGTGAAGAGGGGCAGCCACCTTTGAGGGGTATTTAGGAGGTGGTCCTGACAGAGCCATCTAGCTAGGTTGCAAAGGTCTAGAGTGCCGGCGTTGGGAGGCTGGTCAGCAGAGGATCCTTAGAGCCAAGCCATGGGACTCAGGGCCATCTCCACAGGGACTGTGCCCTGGGCTCTGCCTCTGCCACTCGGCTGCCGTGGCACCAGCAGGCTCCCCACCAGGGTCTCTTTCCTCCCATTGTCTCCTTTCCTGCGCTTGGACAGCTCTGCTTTTCACCACCTATCTTCCAGGGCCCCGATCAGTGGAGGCCCTAGTACGGTGTGGGGAGTCCCAGGCCCGTTGCCACCAGCTGGTATCCTGAACTCTTCCGTGGCAGAGGAGAAAAAGGCATAGGATATGCTGGAGGAGGGGAGACCGGTTTGCGCTGAGGGTGGGGTCCTCCCTCCTGGTGAATATTTACAAACACAGCAGCTCACTTGGCAACAGGGCCCCACTGATTCCCTTGGGTCCTGCCCACCCCCCCCCCATCCCTGTCCCATGCTACTGCCACCAGGAGAGCCTCCTGGGGCATGGGAGGAGGCAGCTATTGTTGGCATCCCAGGGACCTCCGAGTCCTACCCTGGTCCAACAGAGAGGGAGTGAAGGTCAGAGTAGGCCGAGGCCCTGTGAAGGAGTGACTCCCAGGCCTAGGCTCTACCCTGCCCCCATGCCAAGGGTTTAGTGGCATTGGTTGACTCTCAGGCCCGTGTCCTCACAAGACCCGAGTCTGCAGCTCTGCCCTGCAGTGGCTCCCAGGTCTGAAGGGACTCTCGGGGTGGATGCAGGCGGTGGCCCTGACGGTGTGTGAGAAGCTTGGCGAGCCTGGAAGCATGACACGGTGCACCCACCGATTGCCCCGGGTGCTGCCCACCAGGCAGGGGTGCGGGCCCGACCTGAGGAGGAGGGGGGAGGCAGACCCTTTCTCCACCACCTTCCGTTGCCCCAGGCAAGTGGGCTTCCTAGAGAGAAGGACCCAGCCAGGAGAAGTTGGTGAGAGGGAGGGCGCCCACCCCTAGTGTGTGCACGGTGGAGAACCAGCCACGGGCCTGACTAGCTGCTGCCGCTTCACGGACTCTGGTGGCCTCGTGCTACCTCCCGCCCCTGCAGTCTGGGCCTGGGCTCTTCTGAGCAGGGCTGGAGCCGGTTATCTGTGGGCTCAGCAGCCCCGGACGTAGAGGTGTGGGTATGGACGGTCCAGTGCCGGCAGGGGTGGGTGGCCGTCCCACACGAGGTAGGGGTTGGGGAGGCTGTAGTCTGGGGCCTGGATCCCGGCTCCCCCTCTTGCTCCCTGTGTACCAGTAGACGGCAGCTACCTTCTTCGGCAGCGTCTGTGCGCTCCCACCTTAGGCAAGGGCTTCCCAGACACCAGCAAGTCAGGAAATTTAGGCAAGTTCTGTTCTTCCCTCTCCTGGGGACTGTGCTACTTTGGTGACTGGTGACAGAGGCCACCTCTCAGACTTGTGGCAGTGACACATTTGTACATTTCCTGAGTGGAATATTCAGCTGGCTAAGTGCTCCCCGCTCTCTCTCAGCTCCAGCCTTGTATGTTGGCTTCCCTGTGCTCAGGACACCCTTTCCTCTTCGTCCTTCTGTCTCAGCACCAGTACGACTCCCTGCCAGAAGCCAGTGCTGACTCCCCATACCTGAGCCAGGCACCTTCTCTGGCTCCCCATGCCTGATCACGACCCAGACCGCGCTGCGTGGCCCTGCCCCCTCCTTCACGTGTCTCCTCCGCGGAACTGAGGGTAGACCCACATCTGGCTTGTCCCAGGGCCCGGCCCCAAGCCAGAGGGGAGCGGGGAACCGTGTGAGGGTTTGCTCCGTGATTGGGGGTTGGGTGGGTGGATGGATGACTTGGCCATTCTGGTCTGTGCTCTGTGAAAACCCCAGCATTGCAGCAAGGGCTGCAGATGCCCACGTTCTGCTGCAGCTTCGCATCCAGGAGCAACTGCCAAGGGCTAGTGTACTGTTGGTAGGGAGCTACCTTTCCAGGGTTCTCTCTGACATTTTTGGGACCACGTGGCTGAGCTCTTGGGCTCGTCCGAGGCTTCTCAGCCCATTGACCCAGCTCAGCCCATTAGAGGAAATGTCCGGGAGCTCGGAGCCCACCCCAAGAGCTGAGGAGCGTATCTGGATTTTCTATATGTAGACTAAGTCACTTATCTGATAGGCATGGCTGTGACTCAGTCTCCCCATCTGCGGCTTAGGGAAGTAAATGTCCCAAGGAAGCTGGCGGATCCCCTGCCCAGAGTCTTCCCCAGAGTGGTTTTCCTTGGTGAATTCACTGGGGTCCATAGCTGGGCCTCTTCTCAGCTGGTGCAATACCTTCATGTGATCGATATGCCCGGAGTGATTTGTTCCTGTGGGGTAGCCTGCAAACTGATCTAGCTCAAGGAGGCTGCCAGGAAAGCTGGGTTTCCAGCTCAGGAACTCAGTGAGAATGACCAGGCTGGCTTGGGGCCTTACTTTCTCTGCACCCCAGGCAGCACCCAGAGTCTATGGGTGGTTCACAAGTGTTCCCAGGACTCAGAAGACCTGTTGTGCCATGCACAGAGCATCAGCTCCCGGGGCCTAGCCACCTCTGCCCGGTGCTTGGACCTGCCTGGACTGAGCATTCTAAAGATGGGCAAGGGGAGGTCCACAGAGGTGGGTTATGTGAAACCTCGTACGGCTTATAAGTGCAGGAGAAGGGATCTGAAGCAAGATTTGCCTGCTTTCTCGGCGATGACCTAGCACATCACTGACCTCATCTCTGGTGTGGTGATGTTACAGCTTAGTACAAATATTGTCAGGATTTCAGCAGATCTCTCAGGGGTCAGGCAATTGCTGCTTGGCTCATATCCTGTGGCGGTAGAATGGCTGCTGTTGGGTCTCTCGTTGTTTCCCAAGAAGCGAAACCACAGCCATGCTTCCAGAGGTAGACGGCCAGTAAGGAGAGCGGCTGTGGATGGTGAAGTGGTGCCTGGAGCCCACCCAGCCCTCGTTCTGCTGACAGACCCATAGGTGTTGTGTGGCGTTTCTAGCCTCGGATCTGCCTGGGCAGTGACTCCGAGGAGGCCCTAGCAGGGATAAAAGCATCCCATGCCTGGTCCATCCTTGCTCCCTCTCTCAGTCCTGGGCGAAATGCAGACCCCTGAGCCCAGCTGGCCATGTCTGCCCTGCCAACACGGTTCACTTAGCCATCAGGAGGACGTGGTAGCTCCTGGGACCTGTTCTCTTTGAACCAAAGTTAGTCACTAGTGCTTCCCACAGAAACGCTTCTGCTGCCCACCCCAAGGCATCCTCTCTGTCCCCTGGTAGGCTTACTGTGTCCCCTCAGGCTGGGGTGGGCAAGCCTGGCACCCTGCCCGCCATAGGCGGTATCACGAGAAACGCACTTTGCTGAGCCCTTTCTCTCTGGGCCGTGGTTCCTTTCCCTTCCCACCAGTTTAACACGTGCTCCCTAGGCCACTTCCGTTTGCTCTGGACATTAGTGGATGGGATGTCCAGTTAAGGGGCCCAGTTAATGGTGGGGCCACCTGTACCTCTTGGTGCTTGGTCAGGGACAGTGCGCACAGTGGTCAGGGGTCTGGGGCCAGGGAGCGGGGCCTTGACCCTGCCCCGGCTGCTCTTGGTAACGCTACTCTTCCTCAGAAAGTTGGCCCCAGCATCACCTCTGGCCCTGGCAAGACTTTGGCTCCAACTTTCCTTCACGGAGGGCCTGTGGTGGATCAGGATGTGGACCTGGGGGAACCCTGCTGTGTCGCTCACTGGACCCTTGCCAGATAGATCGATGACCTTATGTCACGAGGGCCAGAGGTGTCTGTCAGGATGGGTCTGTGGGCTCTGCTCCCCTTGCCTTCTGTCTCCCTCAGGCTCAGGGCCTGGGGCTGGGAGCTTTGGAATGGGGTGGGAGGAGCCTGCATCACCCCACTCATTCTGGCCACTGTGCTCTTCTTACTCCAGGAGCAAAGAGAAGCACAATGGTATGACCACATGGGAGAGGTGGTGCACCCAGACCCTGGGGCTCAGGAGGCTTTACTCCGGAGCTGTCAGACCGTGCGCTGGCCTCTGGAAGATACGGAAGCCTCTGTCAGTCATGGCCCAGGGCCAGCGCGTATGGTTCTCAGGAGAACTGGGCTGGATGTCTGACTCTCAGGGGTGACTCCTCAGGGTTCCGGCCTGTCACTAGAAAGGCCTTTCTAGGAAGCCAGCTTCTGGGATGTGCTGTGTTACACCAGGCGACTGTGTACCCCAGCTAGCCCAGGGCCCGCCCTACAGTGTATTTGGCCAGGGCCTGGCCAAGGTCACTGTGTCGCTTGTGATCCAAGACAGTTGGAAGGACAGACCTGAGACTCCTCCCTGGCCTGCCATCAGCTCTCCTCTCTCACCCACCTCTTTTTTTTTTTTTTTTTTCTCACCCACCTCTTGTTTCCTGCAGAGTTCATTCTCTCGCTTCTGGAGAAGATGCAGACCCAGGAGATCCTGAGGTTGCTGCGGCTGCCTGAGCTGGGTGACTTGGGCCAGTTTTTCCGCAGCCTCTCAGCCACCACCCTCGTGAGTGTGGGTGCACTGGCCGCCATCCTCGCCTACTGGTTCACTCACCGGCCAAAGGCCTTACAACCACCATGCAACCTCCTGATGCAGTCAGAGGAAGTGGAGGTGAGCAGAGTGTCATAGCTGGAGGCAAGGAGTGGGCAGAGGCGTCTTGAAGGCAGAAGGCAAACTTGCAGCTGATTTGACCCAAAATGGTGCAGAGAATCTCCTTTTCCCCTGGCAGTGAGCCAGTACGCCTCCCCGGGGCCTTGAACAGGGTCTCCTACACGATGCTTCTCTGCCTTTCTCAGGAACTGATCCATGGCCTTGCACCGGATCTCTAGTTTGTCTGCTTCTTGGGTGGGAAGCCTTGGCTTGCCAGTGCTTCAGTAGAAAGCCTGAGGTTCTCAAGGGGCCGCCAGGTAACTTTGCTCTTGGTCTCCCTGTGCCCAGCGCTGGTCTGGAGCTGGAACTCAGAGCTGAGCCCACCTCGTGGCCCTGTCTTCCCAGAGCACATGGACTCATGGGAGGGCCACCAAGGGGAGCAGGGGCAGTGACCCAGCCTGGACAAGGGTATTCCAGGCTCAATCTAAAAGGACTAGTGAGATTTCTTTCTTTCTTAAGCTTGTGAAATTTATTTTGCCTTTTAAAAAATTGTCTTTTTCTTAAACTTTATTCATTTTGAATAGATAACATATTCACACTTCCAAAGAGAAAAAGGTCGCAGACTGAAAAGCTTCTACCTTCTTCCCCTTGCCTGCGACTTCTCCCTAGAGAACTGTCCATGAGCGAATGGATAGTTATCCTCCCCTCTTTTTTTTCTTTTAAGACTTTATTTATTTATTTTAGAAAGAGAGAGTGAGAGGAGGGGGAGGGGCAGACAGAGAGGGAGAGAGAATCTTGAGCAGACTGTGCTGAGCACGGAGCCTGGGGGCAGGGGGGCTTTACCTCACAACCACGAGATTACAGCCTGAGCCCAAATCAAGAGTCAGAGGCTTAACCCCCTGAGCCACCCAGGCGCCCCTGCCCCTCTTTTTAAATGCTATCCTGCTGCATACACAGTTCAGCGTCTTGCTTTTTTGCTCTTGAGGGTGCATTCGGCAATCATGAGCATGGCAGAATTTTGTGTGGTAGGAGAAGATGCAGGTCTAGATAGGACAGGGATCTTCAGGGCACTTTTCCTGCAGAAGGCATGATGTGTGCAGAGGTGTGGGTATGTGTTCTTGCACTTGGTGGCCTTGGGAAATAGTGATTCACATGGGGTAGCTGGATGGTGGAGAGGGGTACCCCTGGACTAGCAGAGTGGTGACCAGAATGGCCTTTGGTGACTGGCAGCCCTGAAGGGCTGGCCACACCTCTTACTAGCTATATGGTCCTTGGCAGTTTCTTAATTCTCTGAGCCTCAGTGTCCTCAACTGCCAAGTGGGTAATAAAAAGAGTGCCCACTTCCTAAGGTTGTGGTAAGGATTTGGTAAGATGACACAGAGAAAGTAATAGACTGTTTTGGTAAGCTTATAATTACAACTCGCTTGGAGAGGCCAGTAAGGACAAAGCCCCACGGGCCAGGACCCTGGAGGTGGGCAGCATGGATTTACTTTGGGTTTTTAGTAGTAAAGAGACACGGGGCCAATTTGTGCTGTAGAAGGATTGAGCGGCCTGGGCAGGAGTGTTCCTGGACAGGTGCCTTCGGCCAGTACACAAAGTAATTCACACTATTGTGTGAATGATGGATGGCACCCAAATGATTCTTAACCTAGGGGCGCAGCAGCAGCAGATGATGATGAGGGCCGTCCCGATGCCAGAGGGTAGCCGGACGCCGGCCAGCACTCCCCATTCCATTGTACGAGTGAGCATAGCTGTATATGAATTGTGACTGGAATTCTGGACATTTTGTGGGTGCCGTGTGTACGTATGGGAGACCAGTGTGCTGGGTCTGTGTGCGCGAGCCAACTGTGTTTGAGTGCGGGGCCACACAGGTCAAGTGTAGAGGTCATGTGTGTGCCGTCCGGGTGTTCTGTCTAGGCCCTATGTGTGAATGCATACATACAGAGCATGTCACAGTCCCACCTATGTGGCCCTGGTCTGTGTCCACGCCCCGTACCGCCTGCTGTGTCCTGGTGCCCTCTCCTGATGCCTCTGCCTGCCTCAGCCAGCTTCCCTGGCCTGTGCTTGGCTCGTAGGACAGTGGCGGGGCCCGGCGATCTGTGATCGGCGACGGCCCTCAGTTGCTCACCCACTACTACGATGATGCCAGGACCATGTACCAGGTGTTCCGCCGTGGGCTCAGCATCTCAGGTGAGAGGGGGCGTGGGGGTGTGCAGGAGCTGTGGCAGGGAGTGAGCAGGTGCAAAGGTGGGGAGGGGCAACCCAGGGGCCAGGGGCCTGGGAGGGGAGTGGTACCCAGGTTCAGAGGGAAAAAACCACTGTTGGCCCTTCTCCCACCCAGTCGGAGAAGTAGCTGCAGTGTGTGGCCGAAGGGCTGACCTCAGCTTTGTTCTAGCACTTAGAACTACCTGACCTTAAGCTGGCTCTTAGCCCGTACTTTATATCTCCCACAGGCAGCCCTGATAAGCCTCCTACTGCCAGGCCACTGGCTGGCATGGTTCAGAACCTGGGCCTCTGAGATGTCTGGGTGGGCCAGGGTAGGGGGCAAAAGGAAGTGGTCCACAGAGGCGACTTTCCACCTCTGCCCCACGGCCAGGTCTCTGTGTCCTCCTGGGGCTGCATCACACAGGTCATGGTGGGAACTGGCGCTGTGTCATTCCCTGTTCCTGGGCCTCCCTGATCCCTGAGGACACATCATGCTTGTGTACTTTAGGCCTTCTTGGGCTTCTGCAAGTTAGACAGGGAGCTAAAGGGCAGTTCACCTGACTCCTGGACCAACCACCCCATGGCCTGGGATGTCCATTCAAGTATCTGATGAGCAGGTGCAGGTGACAGCCCACACTACCATCCTCCCTGGCACAAGGCCTGTTTATCTCCCTGCAGGGAATGGACCCTGTCTTGGCTTCAGGAAGCCGAAGCAACCTTATCAGTGGCTGTCCTACCAGGAGGTGAGTGACAGAGGACAGTCCCCACCCTGTCAACCCATGTAGACCTGGCATCGGGGGGGCTCGTGGGTACCCTGCAAGGTGTCAGAGGGTCATTGTTTCCTTGCTTGGCCTTTCAGACTCCTGGCAGCTACCTCACAGGGTTTCCAGCCGACCTGGGTAGGGACTTGGGAAGGTCTCAGACCTGTAGGAATCTCCACCTGGGGATCTCCCTCCCCTGCTGAAAGTCCTTGCTTTCCATTACTTCCCCATGTCTGTGTGCAGGTGGCTGACAGAGCTGAATTTCTAGGGTCTGGACTTCTCCAACACAATTGTAAACCAAGTACAGATCAGTTTATTGGCGTTTTTGCACAAAATCGGCCAGAGGTAAGCATCTGCCTTCAATGGTTTTAGAGGTATCGGTGGCGTAGGAGCTTGGGTATCATACACAGCCCCGATCCTACTGTTTGTAGGGCCTGGGACAAGAGGAAAAATGAATATACTTGGTCCATGCCACCCCCCAGTCCCTTGGCTTTGCCCCTAATCAGGAGTGGACATCCCAGCCAAGCTCCATCCACGACAGCCAGCCCCACAGACCGCTGTTCCCTGAGCCATGCGGGAAGAAGGACCCAGGGAAGAAGCCCGTGCAAGCCCGTTAAGCAGGCTTGGGACTGTTTTGGAGTCTCAGAATTCCCTGGGGCATGCATGATCTAGAAGGCTGTGGGTAAGCAGACACAACGGGTTAGCTTTGTGGATGCCTTGCCGCATGGAGAGGGCCAGAGCAGAACCTTCTCAGTAGGACCCAGAACAAGTCCCCTGGTTGCCTGGGCATAAGAGCCGTATAGCCCTCCTGCCTGCTCTGTGCTCCCCCAACCCCAGACCTGTGTGTCTCCACAGTGGATCATCGCAGAGCTTGCCTGCTACACGTATTCTATGGTGGTGGTCCCGCTCTATGACACCCTGGGCCCTGGGGCTATCCGCTACATCATCAGGACAGGTGAGCCAACCACATCCCCCTCTTGCCACTGGCAGCCAGCCCTCCAGATCCCCGCCTCTCAGATTATACTGATTGACACTAAAAAGCACTTTGCCTCCATTCTCAAAGAACATTCTCCACTTTGGCCCTTGAGTTGGCTTTCCCCAGTTAGACTTCACCTAAAGGCACCTTCCACAGGGCCTGGCTATCATGAAGGAGCCTCTGCACCAGCCCCCACACAGACTTCCAGCTCCCCGAGGCTTAGTCCAGCTTGGGGCAGATGCCCAGGGGCAGGGGCGAGGGTGCCAAATATCTCCAGCAGACCTGAGATTATGGAGCCTGAGCCTGGAGCAAAGGAATGCTTAGAAGCCGCTCTAGGAGGTTCCCTGGCCTTTTGTCCTTGGCTTCTCCAGAGCTCCCTGCGTTTTCCTCTCCATACAACACATGGCCTGCGTGGCCTGTCTTAGTGCATTTATTTACACCCAAGCTCGGGCACATGCAGCCCATGGTTCTGCTGCCTGGCGCGTGTACCCACGGTCACAGCCTGTGCTCACACAGCCTGACTTTCCCTTCAGCCGACATCAGCACCGTGGTCGTGGACAAACCTCAGAAGGCCGTGCTTCTGCTGGAACATGTGGAAAGGAAGGAGACTCCAGGGCTCAAGCTCATCATCATCATGGAGCCGTTCGAGGAAACTCTGAAAGACAGAGGGCAGGAGTGCGGGGTGGTCATTAAGTCCATGCAGGCTGTGGAGGTGAGGCTCTGCTCCTGGGCTGTGTCCTGGGCCACAGCTCGTTGGCCCCTGAGCCAGAGCCGCTGGTTATCTGCCCCTCTCATGCCCTGGGCTGGATGTCTTAGGTCATCAGGATATGTCAGGGTCGAAACAGGGCAGGCTTCGCAAGGGCTGGCGGTGGGTGGGGGGTCGGTGCCCACAGGCCTCCCCTAGGCGACAGGCTCCGTTGGCTGGCACAGTTATTGACAGAGGCACCGACAGGTGGGTGGTGGTACCAGCCTGCCCCAGAGTTACTCACGTAGCCTCTGGGGCTGCCTTTTCTCCAGCCTGTCTGAACCTGAGGACTAGACACAGGAGGTCCGGGAGTCTTTGAGGGGTTCTTTCAATGTGTCCGAGACTCCCAGCGGCCAGCAGAACCAGTTGTTCTGTGTGTGACCTTCCCGGAGCTGTTGCTTTGGTGGCAGCTTATGGCCTGCTGGAGTGACACAGGCCGTCCTGGCCTCCAGGGCCTCACGCCCTGCTCAGTAGCAGCTCACCCCCACTGTACCTTCCTGGACGTAGGCTCCTGGGCTCTCCCCTTGTCCTCCTGCGTGCCTGCCTGGTCTGAACTAGTAATGCTCGTGCACGTGGCTTTTGGGGCCACATTTACACTGGCAACCCGCATCTGCCCCTCCCGCCCTGACCCTTTATCTGGAAGTCCTGGCCACCTAGCCCCTCCGTCCTGAACGTTTGTCCGGATGGCCACCTTGAGCTGTCTCCCGCACTGCGCATGTGCACAGTGCCTCGCCTTCCCCGGGCCTCAGGCCCCTTGTCTGTAATGTGTGCGGTGGCCCAGGCCTGGATGTGTATTTGAGGAGAGGCCGCTCCCGTGGTTTCTCCACATGGGCTGCGTCTGGATGGGGAATCTTGAACTTTAGACTCCACACAAGAGCAAGACATACTAGGCTGAGTTTGTTTTGATTTTTTGTTTCTTCACTTGTTTTGATTGATAAGAGCTTTTGAGCATTTAAAAATAGTATTTTTCTCTTCCAGGAATGTGGCCAACAGAATCATCAGGCTCCTGTGGTAAGTTCATCTGCCAGTAGGTCTTTATTGAGCAAGATGCTGTGCAGGTCTGACCCTCACAGACCCCTGCCAGGGGCTTGATAGGAGGTCAGAGCCGCCCCCCTGTGCTGATAAGCAGCTACTGTGAGCAGCTTGGGAAATGCCTGCTCAGGGCGCCAGGACTTGTGTGCGTGAGGGTCTAGAGAGCGACCTGAACCAGGAGTCAGGTGTTGAGGAGGGAGGAAAAAAGGGCAGCCAATCCTGGCCACTCTTGGTTCTCCAGGAACCTTTTCTTTGGGACGGCCTATGTTTTTCTTTGACGGTAGTGAACTCTAAGGACAGGGTGAGCAAAAGCTGTCTTTGTTCATCTTTGCTTTGTGATTTTTTCTGCGTGTCACCGCCAAGTGGTGCTGCCTGGGGTTGCGTCACCAGTGACGGTCACTGGCCCTGGGAGGGCCCTGTGGGGGTTTAAGCTTGCTTACACGGCCTCTCCCTGCAGCCCTCCCTCCAGCTCAGCCCTGCCCCCTCTTCTTGCCGGCCCCTGAGCGTTCTCATACATGGGCTGGCCCTTCGTGGGTGGCTCTGGGAGGTGCCCACCTCCCGCACCCAATGCGCCAGCCTTAGAGCACTGTTCTCCGACCCCCTGGCATGCCCTTGCCTCTTGTTCTTCTCCCAGAGCCCACCCTCTGTTCGTCTGGAGAGGTCTGGCTTGTCCCTCAGTCTGAACTCGTGTCACCTCCTCTGTGTACGAGCAGACGTGTTCGGCTTTTCCCGGTGACCCCAGGACTCTGTGCCCCGTGTCAGGGGCAAGGGCCTGATGCAGAACAGTCTTGGTGACACTGTGGGAAGCTCAGTTCCTGGGCCACACATTCTGCTCCCAAGCCTAACCCCAGACATTTGGGAGAAAGTGGGAAGGAAGGATGGCACTGGATCACATCCACGAGGGCTAGATGTGGCCACTGCAGCCCAATCCCATCTAGAACTGAACTCAGATTCAAGTTAGGGAGGCCCCAGACGCAGGTGAGAGGTTAGTGGGACAGATGGATGTCCAAGCCCCCATTAGGTTTCCTCAGCCTTTCTTCCCCTTTCCTAGGGACATGCCAGCCCGCCTTTCTGGCTGCAGCACGCAGGGCATGCTCACGGCCCCACATGTGGCAGGTGGGGGTGCACAGAAGGGCCAGCTGGTAGAGGGGCCTGGGGGTATTGGGCCCTGGCTGGCCACACTGGGTCCCTTGACTCACACCTCTTCTCAACTCTGCAGCCCCCGAAGCCCAGCGACCTCTCCATTGTGTGTTTCACAAGCGGCACAACAGGTGAGCAGAGGTGCCCAGATCACCAGCCAGGGCCACCTGCAAGCTTCCCTGGCGGCCTTGGTGCAGCGGATGCAGGGGGCTCTGGTGCCCTGCGCGGCATGGGCTGAGCCTTGTCCTGTGCCTGGCTCCAGACAATGGGCCCCTCCTGCCGCTCCCAGTGCCCAGCAGGAGGCAGCCCAGGTGGCTGGACGTGGATGGACAGTGTGGCCTGGGCGGTACAGGGTGGGGGCTCGCCATTCCCTGGCACCGGGGCCAGAGGAGGGCCGGGTAGCTGAGTCATGTCATCCCTCCCTGAGAAGCAGCTCTCACCTCTCTGCTTCCTGCCCCTGCATGGCCTTTGTGTCGGGGATGGGGGAAGAGGTATGGGGTTTGGTGTCTGAGAGCCTCGATTTGAGTCCCACTTCCACCACTTGCTGGGGTGTCTGAGAGCCTCGATTTGAGTCCCACTTCCACCACGAGCCAGTCACGTAAACTTGCCGCCACCACTCTGCCCAGCTTCTCACCTGGGATGGGAGCTGTTTAAAGTGCCAAAGAGGAGAGGGGACGGAGTGTGAAAAGGCGGTGCAAAGGCTCTGTGGGATGGGGCTGGTGTGCTGTGGGGACGAGGACAAGCAGAAGTGACGCTCCCCATGCCTGGTGCCGACAGAGAAGTGCACACAGCAGCTTTAGCAGGGACAGCCAACGCAGGCTGTCCGGGGGCGGGGGTCAGGACACACATGAGGAGCATGGTCACGGGCACAGCACGTCACAGTCTGCAGTGCCCTGTTGACCCAGTCACTGAGCTGCTGGGGCCCCAGCACGGCCTGTGAGGCCAGCAGGTGTGGGGGCTGGCCAGGTGGACACAACCAGCAAGTGGAGGTGGAGGACTTGGGCCCTGCTCCCGCGACCCCCAGCCCAGCGCTCTTCCCCTTTGCTGCTCCATCTCATCTATGGACTTCGGAAGTCACTTGTCTTTTCCCTGAATGGGCAAGGAGTTTCCAGCCTTCTTTTTCCAGATTGAGAACTGGCCTGCCTTGATGATAGCTCTTGGTGGGCTAGGCAGTGAATCCAGGGCTTCCGACGCTTTCCACAGACGTAACCTCTAAGTCTGACCAGTCCCATAAGCAGGACTCTCCATGAGGATGGATCACGATAAACGTGGCTTCGTTGGATCGAGATGAATTTTTGCCATTAACTCAATGGGTTTGAGGGTTTCTACCACATTGCTAATTTTTGTCAGAGAAGAAAGAATATAGCATTTGCTCTCCAGGAGCTGACATCTAGATTCAACCCACAATTCAAAAATGCCCTTCAGGTTTATATTGTTCTTTGTCATGAGTTTCATGACATAAACTTTTGGTGACCTGTCTCTCCAGCCTGGGCTGGGGAGCACGTTACTACTGTGGCCTTTAGCTTTAGACCCTTGCCCTTTGAACGTGCCCCTAAGCTTTTCCTGAGTCACTTGATGTTGCCCCCGTTTCTGGAAAAGAACGTCACAGTGCAGAAATGGGCTGTCACCCGGTTGGAGAGGACAGGCCTCACGTCTAGTGCTTTTCCAGGCCACGAAGTCAGAACTGGAAGCTAAGCTGTCCTGCCCAGGCTCTGTGTGGTGGCAGTGGGATGTACGGAGCCTGGCCAACACGTCGCGATTTAGTGCCCAAGCCTCCCACTCCAGAGCTGTTGCTGGTGCCAGGGGCAGAGCTGGACAGTCGAGCACACCTCTCATCACCCTGCCTGGCTGTGCTTGGATTTCCTTGGCCTTCGCCTGAGCATGCTGTGCCCCTGGTAGCCAACCTGTTGTCGACCACATCAGCAATGCGTGTCCTCAGCCTCACAGCCCCGGCCGGACCCAGAGACCCAGCGGCCCAGCTTCCCTTCCATAGTACGCGTCCTGGCTCTTCACTAAGAGCCACACTGTTCTCCTGGTGGGGAAAGATGGGAAAGATGGAAAATATGATCTAAACCTGACATTTGTTTCTGATTCTGGTGGAATCATTCTGGGAAGATTTTCTTCTTGGTATACGACGGAAACATCTGTGGAAATTCCTAGAGTAAGCCAGTGCCTTGGAGCCCGTAGTCAGGCCAAGAAGGCCCTGGAGGAGGTGAGAGCTTGGGATTCGTCTGTGCTCAGGGATGGCTCCTGGCTGGGTATGTGGGTTGGTTGTTCATAGTTCATAAAATGACTATTAGCTGGACTAGAATCCGACACCCCCTCTCCTCCAGAAAAGATAATTTGTGGGTGTAACATAGTCCAGTTTGGGAAATTGGGCCCCATGAATGATAATTAAGACGTATCCTATGAGGACATGCACCCCCTCTTCCCAGAGAAGAAAATATAGTGGTCTTTTAAAACATACCCTTTTTTTTTTTAATAATTTTTTTTAAAGATTTTATTTATTCATTTGACAGAGGGAGAGAGACAGCGAGAGAGGGAACACAAGCAGGAGGCGTGGGAGAGGGAGAAGCAGGCTTCCCACAGAGCAGGGAGCCCGATCCCAGGACCTCGGGATCATGACCTGAGCCGAAGGCAGTCGCTTAACCGACTGAGCCACCCAGGCGCCCCTAAAACATATCCTT